GTGTGTGCCTAAAATGAAGCTAACAGAAAAATGAGGCAAATGTAATGGGATGCTACTGACAACGGTGTTGGACGAGGAATTTGTTTAATTGAATGCCCGGTTTTAGTGTATGGTCACTGTGAGGCTAATAATAGATGATAAGTGCTAGATTATTGAAAATGGTTTACATATTTATGGGTAGATATGCATGCATTCGTGCACGAACACACACACACACACACACACACATATATATATATATATATATATATATATATATATATATATATATATATATATATAATTGGTGTTAATATATTATATATATATATATATATATATATATATATATATATATATATATATATATATATTATACGAGCACAACTTATTCCACCTGGTAGTGCTATAGGTATAATACAATGAGGTATGCACCTGTCCTTTGCGCGAGTAATTAGAACGTAAAACTTTGTGTTTCGTGTGATGTGTAAGTGATACCTGACGGAAGAAGGATTGTTTATCCCCTAATAATAAAGTTCAGTATTTTATGTATGGTACGATGTAGGTGGGATCAACTAGTGGTATCAATTCATTCTATGTTTAAAATATCAGACGAGGTTGAGGGTGACGAATCGGAGCATATGGGACGATATGCGCACTATACCGCAGCCCTTCGAAATGCGACTTATTTGAGGGGTGCGCATGTGAGATAAAAGTAAAGAAAACGCAGAACAAACAGGCCAGGTTTCTGCGTAATTGAGGCAATAGTGGTTTGTAAGGAAGAAGCGTTTTTCACGTATAAAACATTGGTGTTTATGAAGTGGATCAGGTACACAACAATAAAACAGATTACCTGAAGTTCTGGCTAGTGAAACAATATGAGATAGATTTGACCAGGAAGAATGGAGACTGATGCTCCCGGATTGGACAAATCACGGTGACACAAATGTCATTGGTAGTATATTATTCTAAAAGGGTAGTTGGTTTTGTTGTGTTATTTTCCGAGCTTACCCGAAGTCACACTGGTGATGTTGCCTAGTCTGGTTACGAAAAGTATGCGAACAACAATTTCGGATCAGAAAACACATCAACACCAACATCCCGGCACAGAAATGGGATTCATTATGTTATGAAACTCGTTAAATGGTTATCGGTACGCATGATTCCTAAAACTAAGTTGGTCACGTGAGTGTGCGCTACATCCAATGTGTGGTCCTGTTTTAACTTCCATCAATTCTATTATAAAAATGAGCGAAAATGGTAGTTCTTATTCCTAAATCCAATGGGTATTATCTGAGTGTCTTTTTTTTCTCTATCTTTTCCCATCCTCAATATGCGATTCAGGCTTTCATCCCGGTGGAATGGCCAGCGAAGCGGAGCTATATGTGGCCGCTGCGGCTGCTGCGGCCGCTGCAGCTGTCGGAGGTCCGTCGAATGCAGCCGATATTGAGAATTCAATGGGTGGAACCGGTGTTCCAGGACGTAATTCATCTATGGTTGATGGTGGCGCAGGAGGTTATATGCCCAGTTATTTGGTTGGTGGGATGACAGATTCTAACTGCGGTTCCAATTATCATCGGACTGGTTTACTACCGAACAGTGCAAACTATCCCTCTATGTTATCCGGTCATCTACCGTACGGACCCTATTCAGCCCCATCACCGACCTCATCGGCAGGTAATGGGAACGCCACAAACAGAACTCAGTTTCCTGGCGCCGGACAATTTGGTTTGTTTCCTGGGTCCGGGGCATCCCAAAGCACGACCGATATGAACTATGGCTCCTCGGATATTAATATGGCGGCTGTGCATTATGCAGCTGCGCTAGCCCTACAACAGCAGCAACAGCAACAGCAACAGCAACAACAACAACAAAAACGAGGAACTTATCCACCAGCATCCAGTACTAATGCAGGTCAATCCTCACCGAACGCTTCTTCAGGAACAGCATACAATTCGCCCAATGGAACCTATCGTGGTTTGACTAACGGTCACATGCCTGCTGGTTCACTTAACCCCACATCGGCTGGTGCTGCTACCTCACCGTTCAATTCATCTTTCACAGGTTCCAATTCCTCCGGTAGTATACCACCGGCACATTTACAGACCCAAGCCTCCTCGACCGGTGGTGGTGGTGGTGGTACACCGTCCGGTGGAGCGCCCCTACTCATGGGTTCCAGTTCCCCCACGTCCTTCTCACCTACCAGTCGACATCCGCTAGGGTTGACCAATTATGGACATCATGGAAGTCACCTGAACAGTCATCATCATCACTCGGGAGGATTTTTGGCCTCAGTTGGTGCGCAAGATAGCCTAGCACAACCGTCTTTACAGGATATTCATGCTGGTTAATCGCTGTTCCAGTTCTTAGAGCAAACCTCAGAAACGGGGAATCTATTCGATTCGGGAACTCAATAACCCATTCCTCTCTCCCTTCTTTTCTCACAAGAAACCCGGTGGTCCCTTTTTGCAACTGTCCCAACGGCGCCTTTATTACATATTCCACATAAATTGATCGAAACAGTCGATTTTGATTCGACTCTGGACATACTGTTAACTCAGCAATTTAGTCATACCACCAGGCGAATTGGGAGAATTTACGCATATCTGTGCCGAAGGAGTAGGGGTTCAATGGTGTTATATCACACAACTAGTCAATATCTGTTTATTGATGAATCTCATTCCGCTCATTCGCTATTGTTCACTGCATGAAACTTGTGTGTGCCCGGTTTTTGGACACTGTTACATCGTATGAAGTTATGTCCAGTCCAGACAGGTCTTTGAGATGAATACTCGGTAGATGATCCCCGTCCCACAATCTAACCACTATTCTCTCGCACGAGATTCCGTGCTTTGTGGTTTGAATTGAAGAAATTTCTACAGATGAATTCCCGTTTCCATCCTCCATCACAATGCTCTCCTTCCATCCAAATCTAGAGTCGCCGCTCAGTTGTTGTTGTTGCTGCTGCTGCTGCTGTTTTGCGCTCATCGCATGTTGCATGCATATGGCTGCGATACACGCGCGACCTTGGAATGAATATCTTCTACCCGAACAAAAACCTCTCAGACCCTGTACATTAAACTACACTCCCAAAAGTTCAACATTGCTTTTGTTTCCCTTGTCTTTTTTCTCTGTTTGTTTTTTTCCGGTCTCCGGTTTCTTTTTTGCTCTCAGTCATCTCACCCCCTGTTTCATATCTATTCGATATGCACACGTCCCGAAATCCTGTTCACTCAAATCCTCTCATTNNNCCCCCCCCCCCCCCCTCCTCAACACCCCACCTACCCACCTATCACAAATTGCACAAACCCTGTATTCTGCCTCATCACATCACACCTACGTTTGGTCCCATCAATAAAACAACAACAACAACAACAACAACCATTACAGAGCCGTTTTGTTTTGTTTTGAGCTTTCCCAATTTTTCTATACGATCCCAGAAACATCTTTGAGAAATTACGGTTCGATTGAAGCATCTGAATGATCAGATCCATGTATACATCATTTTTTGCACAGTCATACATTCAGTCAAAGCCTGCAGTGACCCAGCCCTTTCCAACAGTCCTTCACGTCTGGTGAACATACGAAAGGTTGATGCAGACCAGAAAAAAACCGTATTGGAGGTTATCAATGTGTTGAGGGACACATGCATTTCATGCATGCATATT